TAAAACTACTGTGGATATTTTTATAGAGGGTTTTAATTTCACAAAGTTTGAGTTAGTGAAAAGGAGAATGGTTGCTTGAAAACAAAACGGAAACTAAGTCCTGCTGCCGTGAGCCAGTGTGCACGCCTGGTTGAGCAGTAAGCACCCTGGAGGGCGGACCAAGATAAATGGAACTGGGAGGGAAATTGTAAATGACTTCAGTACTTCCTAGATAAGGTAGGTAAATCAAATGTTTACCTGGTACCTGCTACTTGTCTTAATACTGGTTTCAAAATACCCATCGGTTGATTACCAAAATCGGTGGTGTGATCTGGAAGAGGTACTCGCACAGGCTCCCTTCTCTAACCTTTGTGGTTTGATTTTAGAAGCTGGAGACGCGGCTCCGATGATGTTTGGAGGTTACAGTGAGACGTTTTATCCGAGTGCTTTGTTCAGTGTACAGTGCTGTCGGTGTCGTGCATGTCACCCTTGCTGAACCAGCTGCTGCATGAGGTGCTGAGGGCTTCCTATCTGCTGCCGGAAGCTTGAGTCTCGCACAAACAAGAAAGATACTGACACTTGGGGCCATCTCAAGATTTGGGTGTTCGGGATGGCTGGCTGGGGCTTTGGAAGAAGGCCCGACGGATATAGTATGGTGGCCTAGCCAGACCTCCAGGATGGAGAGAGGCTGTTCGTAGGGCGATCTGTAAAGGCTCAGGCGTAGGAAATCCAAGACGTGCCCAGGAGCTGGTACATGGACATGTGGAAAGCCATACATGGCTTGTGTTGGGAGGAATGAATAAGGCTCCCAGGAGAAAGGGAAGGCCAAGATAGCCCTTTGGGGGATGGAGAGAAAGGGGAAGTGTGGGTGAGGGGCTTGGCATGAGGACTTCCTGGTGAAAATGTTTTCAGAGGTAGGGCTAGACATGAGACTAGCGCTGGAGAAACCAGAGCTGGCAACAGACTGCTGAAAGAGTTGTCTCTCTCAGAGGGGCCGTGGCCAGGGGCCCGGCAGTGTATGTACCTGAGAGGACAAGGGGGTGCTGAGGGCGTGTAGCAGTGCTCCCAGACTCCTGGGCCTTACTGAGGAGTCCAGGCAGAGACACTGGGAGCTATAAGGTGTCGGGCACCAACGCCCATCATCAGAGTTCTGTTTTCTGAGCCTCGTGACCTACCTCCCAAGCATCAGGTTGGACTCTTGGTGCTGCGGGGCTTAGCTGTGTGCGTCAGAGAGATTGTTAGACTGGTCAGCTGGCCAGGTCCTTTCCTTCGACCGAGGAGGCTGAGTGGCTCGTTTATAAGGCCAAGAGCTGGGAGTAGAACACAGTTGGTGTCGCAGCGTGGGGCTGCATGTGGAAGGACTTCATAGAGATGTTTTACATTGTGCTTTCGTTTTTTAGGGGTGAGTGAGGTTGCCGACCCGTGCTAAGCCATGTCATTCTGAAGTCTGCTCTCCCCTCAAGGGCACCCTCAAGGGCACAGACCTCTACACAGAGCCCCTTCCAAGCATCAGCTTCACGTCTCATGAAATCGCATTACCACAAGACTCTAAGAAATACAGATACGACGAAGATTTGATTGTGTCATATGTGTATGGTTTACATATCCTTTCTTAATAAGCCCGATGATCTGTCACAGCCTACACAGGGGCCTGTTATCAGCGAAATGTCCCTGACAAATTGCCACTGATCAGTATCAGCCGTCTCCAGCGGAACACGTGCCTGAGAGAGGCAGCTGAGGCGTACACATGCTTGGTTTGATCAGTTGGCAGAGTTGTGTGGCAGTGTGGCAGGCTGGGGCGGGGGTGGTGAGAACAAGAGTGAGTCAGGATGGGCAGAAATGTAAGAAGTGTGTGTGTGCTTTTTATAACCTCCCTGATTACATCAGATGTTTAACTTGTTAGTGTGATTGATGGTTTACGGAAGAACAGGGTCTCCGGCGTCACACAGACTTGGATACTAGTTTCTGTGGTGACAAGTGAGCGAATTTAAGCCTTTGCTTTCTCCATCTGTAAAACGGGGGTAGTGGTGGTGGTGAAGATTCCATGAGGCGGGGTGGGGGTGCGCACTCTCGTCCTTTGTGAAGGCTTGCTGAGGATGGCCATCTCCTGAACGCTCCTTCAAATGCACACTCATTAGGTAGAGACTCAGACAGCAGTGTGTGTGCTTTAGAAAACTCATTTTCCTCTCTGATATTCTACGCAGTCTCATGGGCCATCACAAGAACCAAATCTGATTTAAGAACTGTGTACTCAACCCAGTGCTCCAAGGTGTGAATACAACATGCCGGTGCGGAGTAGAGAACCAGTGGAGAGGTCTGGGGGGCTGGCCCCAGCCCCAAATACTAAGTGGATGCCTGCCCCTCCCCCAAGAAG